GGCAGAGGCAGGCGGGATGAGATGTCTGAATTTGAGGTCAGCTTAGTCTACATAGTGAGTTCCAGGACTGCAAGAGCTACATAGTGATACCCTGTCTCAAAAAAAAAAAATTATTTTTTTTCATATGTCCATTTGAGGCTATGGCACATGTATCCAGGTGCCCATAGAAGACAGAGAGAGTGTGGAATCCCCTGGAACTGGAGTTGAAGATGGTTGTGAGCTGCCCGTTGCAGTTCAAACTCTGATTCTCTGGAAAAAACAGCAAACACTCTTAACTACAGAATCATGTCTCTAGTTCCCCAAAGAAGACTCTTGAGGACCATTGCTATAACATCACTGCGTCAGAGTTTTGTTTTACTTAAGGGGAGGATCGAGTTTACCTCCAAATACAACACTGGCTAGTGGATATCTAGAGCCAGTGAGCAGGCTGTGGGGGTTTGTGACTGGAAAATGACTAAGAAGAAACCCATAGGCTGAGCAGATATTCTTGATAAACCTACGTAACAGGATTTTTTTTCCTGAAGTCAGGCCAGATCAAGGTAATAAAGCATCACTTGGGAGGATAAAGAAGAGGGTAGAGGGACTTGATCAGATATGGGGTAATGGAGCGACCTGCTAAGTCTGCTTAGTTTAAGACTGGATTTTCGTTGGTGGCGCACGCCTTTAATCCCAGCACTTGGGAGGCAGAGCCAGGCGGATCTCTGTGAGTTCGAGGCCAGCCTGGGCTACCAAGTGAGCTCCAGGAAAGGCGCAAAGCTACACAGAGAAACCCTGTCTTGAAAAACCAAAAAAAAAAAAAAAAAAAAAAAAAGACTGGATTTTAGGTGAAGGCAAACAGATTGGCATAGAAGAAAATTCAGAGGACTTTGGCCAAGCAAAGAACCTTTGTCAGTGTCTAAGAGTTCAGCCAGCAGGTTGTATGTTACTGATGTGTTTTCAGGAGGAAAGAGACAGGATCTTCCTATGTAGCATGTAGCTAGGCTAACTGGGGACACGTCATCCCCTTACCGCAGCTTCCTGTGTGCTGGGAATACAGGCATGCACCATAGTGGCCTGGTTGGTATGTACAGTGAGTTTTTAAAAGAAGTTAATGGGCTGGAGAGACTCAGCTCAGGGGTTAAGAACACTTGCTGCTCTTGCAGAGGACCAAGGTTTGAGTCCCTACATGGCAGCTCACCACTGTCTGTAACTCCAGTTCTAGGGATTCAGCATCTTCCTGGCCTCCTTGAGCACCAGGCATACACAAGGTACATATACATACATGTAAACATTCATACACAGTAAATAAATAAAAGGAACTGCCAAGCTCTTTTCTAAAGTGGCTGTGCTGTTTTGCATGCTTATCAGCTGTATTTGAGAAAATGCATTTTCTTTATATTTTTGCTAGTACTTGGCCACTGTGTTAAACTTATCTGTCCTAGTAGGTGTGTAGTGATGTCTCTGTCAGGCTTAATTTGCATTTCTCAGTGACTAATGGTCTTCTGTGTGTTTATTTGCTGTTCATATGACCTCTTAAATAAGATGTCTGTCACCCTTAAAAAACTATTTTCTTGTTGAATTTTTTCTTTCTCCTGTTGAATTTGAATTTCCCCCCATTGCTGGATATTGAACTTCGAGCCATGCTGGTTCTCTTAAGCACTTTACCACTAAACTCTGCTCCACCACCATTGTTGAGCTTTGAGGAGGCTTCAGAGATTCTTGATGAGTCATTTGTTACATGGATACTTTGCAGATATTTCTCCGTGTCTCTGTCTTGTTCTTTCCCTTTCTTATAAAGGTCTCTTTAAGTGTTTTCAATCTTAAGTTACCAAGATATTTTAACCATCACTAGTGCCCGGGTGTGTGTATATTAGTAATAATAAGAATATTTGCCAAGCATGTGCCAGGCCCTGGATTCAATTCCCAGTCCACAAAAATAAGCCAAGGGAAATCCATCAGGAACAAACACATTATGGATAAGTACAATTGTTGACCCTAAGTGTCTGTTACTTGTATTAAGGCTTATTTTACACAGTACAGATAAATTGATCTAAGCAGAAACTGAAAATTACTTTTGAACTTTTCTATCTTAACATGCTTGAAAATTTTAGCACAAACTCTTTAGTGAAAAATTGCATTTACTTGGTGTTTGTCTTTTTTTGTTGCTACATTTCAGTTCATTTTTGTATGCTTGTGTGCATGCGCATGTGCTGTGATATGAGTGTTGAGGTCAGAGGAAAACTTGAAGGAGTAGGTTCTCGCCTTCCATTATATGGGACCAGGGGTTGAGCTCAGGTTGCTAGGCTTGGCAGCAGGCATCTTTACTTGCTGAGCCGTCTCACTGACCCTCGTGTTTGATTTTATAAGATCCCTAGGGAACACACATTCACAGTGCTAACAGGCTGTGATCAGTGGCCTAGTAAGTTCAGCGATTGACCATTTCGCCTATGTAGTCAGGACCTATGTATGCTTGTATGTAGTTACAGATTGGTGCTTCCGGGACTGTAGCATTGCACTATAGAGGCCCTTCTCCTGCAGTTTTTGGATTTCTAGTATGTAAATAACGATCTGAAGAGCTGTACTGTGAAACACATCTTTTCATTTCATTGTCTTGTTTACTTCTGAGTTATAGAAATAAAATCATACTTGATTTTCCTCAGCAGGCCCTAGGTTCGTTTTTGTTGTTGTTGTTGTTTTAGGATTTATTTATTTTATGTGAGTGTTTGCCTGCATATGTGACTGTACCACGTGAATTCTTGGTATCTGAGGAGGTCAAAAGAAGGGGTCAGATTCTCTGGAACCAGAGTTACAGATTGTGAACCACCATGTGGGTGCTAGGAACTGAACCCAGGTCCTCTGGAAGAGCAGTACATGCTCTTAACTATGAGCCGTCTCTCCAGCCCCTAAGATTAACATTTTAAAAAAATCTTCCTGAAATTTATTTTATGTTACTCTCATATAAGAGTACAGTAGGAGACTAGTTAATCTGGACTTTGGAATTCTGGTGTATTTGAACATTGGGGGTGGGTATTGTGTTTCTTTGTAGAAATTATCTTTAGATTTAGCCTAAAGCACAAACCTTTTTTAGCTGTGGAAACAGTTACAATAATTAGTGTTGTAATAAATAATGGGTTTTTCATGTTATTCATCATTTGATCCATTGCAAGTATCTGGTAGAATTAGAATAAGGCTTGATCGATGTTTAAGTAATGATACATTAGTGGGCTATTTTTACTTGTATGCAAATTAATTTATCACTGTAATTATCTCATCTCTACTTCTGTATACATTTTCAGGGTGAACTCATAGTTCCCCCATAAGACTTTGGAGTAAAATATGCCATTTCTAAAATGGAAGCATAATGTATTTTTTTATTAATTTAGTAGAAATTCTTCCAAGATTATCAAGATTTTGGATTGGAAAAATAAAAACACTAATCCTTCAAATCTATTTCTACCCTCCCTCATTTCTCCTAGTGACAATCTAAGAGTAGATCTGAAAAATTCTAGGACCTGGTTATGTTGTGGATTATACATGAAAAGACCCTGAAAACCTCCTAAGTGCAGACAGTTTTACTAATTGCTGTCGGGGTCATGCTCATTTTTTGGACAGTGAAAAATTTTGCCGTGGCAGCCTGTCTGCTGAGTGGAGTCTTTAAGAAAGACTGATAGACTAGACTGTTTTGAGTTGTCCCAGTTGATGTGGATTTAGTTACTATTGCCAAGACTATTAAACCTCCGCATGCTGTCATACTGAATGTTCTGAAGACAAAGGCATTTGACCTTGTAATGAGATATAGGTTTTGTTCATGCTGCTTTTGAAAAATTTCCTTCTGAAATATGAAATAGTACTTTTCTATTTGAAGTTTTAGTTTAAAAAAAAAAAAAAAACCCTCAGTGGAACTGTTTTTAAAATTCAGGCTAGGCAGGAAGATCATGAGTTCCAGGCCAGCCCTAGAGTACATAGTAAGACCTGTCTCAAAAAACAAGAAAATAAGCTCTAACTAAACATGCATATCTTTAAATAAATTAAAAAATGTTAATGTTTTCCACCCCTCATTTTTATAAATATCCCTTGAAGCAACAGGGTCCTTAAGGATAATATTAGTGTGGTTGAAATCTGCCTTCCAGAATTAGATCAGTACGATCAAATGCAATACCCTTACAAATCCTAGTATTATAAATAGGAGTTAGAATGAAATTGAAACTGGTTATTAAGATGTTTGTGCCTGGGAATGGTAATGCATACCTTTAATCTCAGCACTGGGGAAGCAGAGACAGAAGATCTCTGAATTCAAGACCAGCCTGGTGTACACTGGGAGTGCCAAGCCAGCCAGAGCTACATAGTGAGACCCTGCCTCAAAACACAAACAAAAAGATTTTGTGGTAAGAGGACCAACAAGATAGCTCAGCAGGTAGAGGAGTTTCCTGCCAAGCCTGGTAACTTGAGTTCAATTTCTAGGAACCACATGGTGGAATGAGAGAATCAGTGGCTGCAGGTTGTCCCCGACCTCCACCCTCTGCTTGCACAGTGGTTCTGCAAGGGGCGGGGGATCCCTCCATAGTAAATAAATGAAAATTACAGTAAGAGAGGGAAAGTGAGATTGGAAGAAAATTGTACATTTCAGTGTTGTTTCAGCAGTTCTTGGAGGGGTTTTTGTTTGTTCATTAAAATCTTAAGCTTAATGTGGACATTTTTTGTTTTGTTTTTGTTTTCTCAAGACAGGGTTTCTCTGTGCAGCTTTGCACCTTTCCTGGATCTCACTCTGTAGACCAGGTTGGCCTCAAACTCACAGAGATCCGCCTGCCTCTGCCTCCCGAGTGCTGGGATTAAAGGCGTGCGCCACCACCGCCCGGCTGGACATTTTTAACTAGTACTTTATTTTCCATAGAAGTATATGTTCTTCTTTGGTTAGTAACTTCATTGATTTTTACTTTGAAAATGAATGTTTTTACCTATGAAATACTTTGTGTTGATTTTACACATTTTATTTTGATAGTAAAAGTTCTTTCTTAAATAAGTTTTTTTTTTTTTTAGCAGATTTATGAAAATATGCATCGGTTTGATACTGTCTTGGAATTCATGAGATGGAAGCATAGGTCAAAGCTGTTTGGAGAAAATTGGAACTACAGTTTTATCTAGCCGCATCCCTGAGGTAAGGAAAATCAGAAAATCAAGTCATAGAAAATGCTTTCTATTTATTCACTCTTAATTCACTCTTCATTTCTTCACTATTGGAAAGTCTCTGTCGCTGCTGCAACTTCATTTCACCTTCTTCCGGGTCCTTGTCATACCAAGACTTGGTGGTAACTGCTCGGTTTCTTGAGCCATCTTCCTTATAGGTTAATAATTTTACTGTATTTTCATCTTAGAAATAAATGTTCCCCCTTCAAGAATGCCCCAGACCCAGTTGCCTTTGTATCAGTCAGTTTCCCTTAGTGTCCTGAGATGCCTGAGGTAGTCAACTTACAAAGAGAAGAGATTTATTTTGGCTTGGAGTTAATCTAGTTCACGACCTTCTTGCTTTGGACCTCTGGCAGTGCCAACACCACGGTGAGAGTTCCTGACAGAGCAGACTGCCACCCTCCTAACCCTGAGAGGTATGGGGGGGGCGGGGAGCTGGGCTCCAGCATCCTCCTCAGTGACCGGCTTCCTAGGAGATTCACCATCTCCTCCCAGTTGTACCATCCTGTGATTAAGGTCTTGACTCTTGGACCTTCAGGGGATGCTCATCCCACCAGAGTGGTCAGTCTTGTGATGGTCTTCAGTGACATTTCACCTCATCACTTTATTCTTCATTGTAATGACTTCTTGTGCACCACCTTATAGTTGTAACTGTTAGTAGGGTAATTTCTAATCTAAGTGACTCAGAAACCATGTCTTTAATTTTTAAGAGATTACATGAGTGACACAAAATTTTAAATAACATATACCAAAGCCTTTCATTACTCTCAATTCCACTGTTCTCCCTATCTTCCCTTCCATCCATCTTAGTGACCTGTCTTTTATAGTTAATTTATTGATCTGTTTATGTAGCATTAATCATCTTGAGTTAATTTTAATATCTAATATCTTTCTATAAAATCATGCAGTGACTAAGCATGGAGGCACACACCTGTAATCTTGGCCACTTTTGGGCTGAGACTGGAGGATGGTGATTATTGAGGCAAGCCTGGACAACTTTAGTGAGACTTTGTCTCAAAAAATAAAAAATAAAAATAAAAGAGTGGGGGCAGCTGGGTAGAACAATACTTTTTAGCTTGTGACTAGCCCAAAGATGAGGAGGTGAGAAAGAGGGGATAAGGAAACCAGGCAATAGCATTCTTGATTTTCTTTCTTTCCCTTAAAATGTTTTTTGTTTTATTATTTTTTATGTGTATGTATGTCTGTGGGAGGCATGTTCAGACCTGTGTGTGGGTGCCCACAGAGGGCAGAAGAGGATGTTAGATCCCCTGGAACTGGAATTACAAGTGATTGTGAGCCACCCAGTGTGTGTGTGCTGGGAACTGAACTCAGGTCCTCTGGAAGAGAAGCAAGCACTCTCAACCACTGAGTCATCCCTGCAGCCTAACTTCTTGATTTTCAAATGTATTCTTTTGGGGGAGGGGGTGGTGTTGGTTATTCTATGGCGCTGCCCCTCGTGGCTGGTCGCTGCCCATGGCGGGCGGCCGTGCCGGTGGAGGAGCGTGCTGATTAAAAGAATGATAGCCATGGTTACCTTTTTAGAGCTTTATTGGGGGTAGGGCGGAGAGAGAGTCAGAGACAGAGAGAGACACAGAGGTGGAGGAGGGAGAGAGGAGGGCCGGTGGGAAGGAGCAGAAAGAAAAGGGGACAGAGTGCACAGAGGGCCCACGCGCTTTTTAGGCTGATGACGTAATTAAGGACCGAATCCTTACATCCCAGACTTTCCCTTACTATAAAAAAAAGCAGGTAGATGGGACTGAGTAAGACAAGGGTTTTGAATTAGCTCAGAGGCCATATAGCACTAGATCTTCTCTGTTATCCTGGGGAAATGATGTAGGTGGCAGCCCTGTACATGTGTCAGTCCTGGAGCAAAGGCTTTGGTCTAGTTTGTTTAATGAAGAGCCATAGGTCAATGCAGATAGAGTAGAGGAACTGGAGTCTGGTGGACATTTGTAGACTTAAGCTTTTACTTAAGCCTAAGGTTACCAGGCTGCCATCAGAGGGCTTTAAACAGAGGTATGGTTTATCATGATCATAATTAGGATTGCTTTACCTGTGTGGTGAATATATGGTGCGTAAAGGTATTTGTAGGGTATTTGTAGACATTTTAGAGGCTGTTCGAATAATCCAAGTAAAGGTTACTAGTGTCTTAAATTAGAGAACAGAAGAGGTGGTGATTAGTATGTGGGGTCAGAATATAATCTGAAGGTGCAGATGGTTGATGGTAGGAGTCGGGGGTACACACGAATGACTGAGACTAAGTTAACTAAGGTGGGGAAGACCACAGATCTGGTAAATATGGGAGGGGGAAATACCAGGAGTAATAAACTACATAGCTGCTAGTAACATTATTTAATCACTTTGTATACTCTTTGAGTCATCCTCATGTGAGAATATTCTCATGTATTATACATTGAGCTTGTTTTTTCCATACCTCCCTACCCATGCTCCCTCACTCCCACTGGTCCCTTTTCTTCCACCAGGTTGTTTTGCTGGTTCTGCATTCACATTGTCTTAGTTAGGGTTTTAGCCTACTGGTGTGCACTGCCACAACCGGCAAGTTATTGGCTCTTGACTGAGTAATTGAGGCTTCAGACAAGACTGCTTGAGCATTTAGTGTTTCCAAGGATCTAGTTTGTCTTCTGGTCTCAGAGTAGCTGCCAGCAGCTTCAGAGACTGATATTTCTTATTTATATTCAAACTGAAAGATTGTCTATTCCTTAGATGCTAAAAAAGCAGGCTTGTGTTGTCCCAGATACACTCTCAGTAGCTCATGAAGCTAATTATTTTCTTCAGATTTGGATGAGATTGTGTTTTCACTGTTATAAAAATAATCACTAGAATAACCCTGACAGCTTTGGTGCAGTTACATAGCTGTATATTGGGGTTCTGATTGCTGGGAAAGAGGTTAGAAATTGGGGAAAGAAAATGGACGAGTTGCTTGTTAAGGGAAAAGACGATATTCTTATGCTAATCCAGGCTCTGGATAAGGAGCAGAGCTGCCATGCAAACAATGGCTGTGGAGCCAGAAAGTCTGCAGCCAGAATACTCCTTCTCAGAAAGCTTGTCAGACCCGGCGCCTGGAGCTGCCTAAGGGAGGGACCCCTGGAAAGGGGGTTTTTCCTTGCCGGTTTATGGAACTGGCAGCTGGCCAACTTGTTGGAAATTCCCACACCTTTCTAGTATTAAGTAAAAATGAAGGATATGGGGAACGCTTGACAGGAAAAGGAAAGAATGACTTCAGGCTTGTTTTTTCAGCTGACTTCAGACTTTCCCTGTTTTGTTTGGGGTTTTCTTTTTCTATTTGTTCTTCAGTTCTGATTAAACTGTTTGTCAACTTTACATTTTTTTAAACTTATGAAATTCTTTGAGGCTGGAGTGTTGTCTCTGTAGTTAGGAGTACATGTTACTCTTTCAGAGGACTTGGGTTCAATTTTCAGCACCCATACAGCAGTTAACGCCCGCCTGCAACTCCAGTCCCAGGGCACTAGAAAAACACACACACACACACACACACACACACACACACACACACACGCACCCATGTAAAACAGTCATATTACATAGAATAAAAAGATGTTTCTTTAGCCAGGCAGTGGTGGCACATGTACCTTTAATCCCAGCACTCAGGAGGCAGAGGCAGGTGATCTCAGTGAGCTCGAGGCCAGCCTGGTCTACACAGGGTGGGTCCCAGACCAACCAGGGCTATCCAGAGAAACCCTGTCTCAAAAATAATAATAATAATAATAATAATAATAATAATAATAATAATAATAATAAATCTTTCTTTTAAAAAAAAAACTGTATTTCCTCCTAATTTTGCTTCATGTTATTTTCCTGAAGAAACTGTATCAAATGGGTATATACAGTTGTTGGATGCCAGTGTGATAGCTCTTTAATTCCTGTATCATTTTACAGTTTTGATTATACAGCATTTTAAATGTCTGTATGCATGTGTATTTGTGTATATTTGTGAGTGTATGTGAGTGTATGTGTGTGCGCGTGTGCGCGCGCCATTGGCTCTCTGCCACTTACTGTTATGAGACAGGATCTTTCACTAAACCTGGAGGAGCTCCTAGCTAGGGTGTCTATGTCCCCATGAGACTCCTGTCTCTACCTCCTCAGCACTGGGTTTTATAGATGCATATAACTACAAGTGCTTTTTTTGTGCCTACAGCGAACCAGAACTCTGATCTTCATACTTGTATGGAAACACTTTACTGGCTGGACCATCTCCTTAGCCTCTGCCCTTATGTTAATGACATTGGCAAAGTAGATATTTTTAACTTACGGTAAAGATGATTCAGCTGGTAAAAGCCCTTGCTTCTCAAACCTGACAAACCCAAGTTGATTTCCCAAAGGAATCCCACACTCAAATACCACACAGTAGTTTAAAAAAAAAAAAAATTAAGATTCTGATGAAAGTCTTAGCAATTAAAAATGCATATATTTTATTTTCAAATGTTAGAATGAAAATTATCAGTCTCAGTATGGTGATAAAATCAGGTTATGCCAGGCATGGTGGCACATACCTTTAATCTCAGTACTTGGGAGGCAGTGGCCAGTGGATCTTAAATGAGTTTGAGGCCATCCTGGTCTACAAAGTGAGTTCCAGGATAGCCAGGGCTATTACACAGAAAAAACTTGTCTCAAAAAACCAGAAAGTAAGGAATAAATACAATCAGGTAACAATTTTGCTTCTGTATTATGGTTGTAGAAACAGTGTGAGACAAACGAAGGGAAGTCCACCACATTTGTATTACTGTTAGTGATCATAGCGGTGACACCTGTCTACTGGGTCTGTAACACTGGGTATGAGGTACTAAATCCTCTAGGTTAGTGATGAAGGAATACAAGACCTTAATAGATGAACCAGCATTGTCAAAAGTCACAATCAAGTCAGAACTGACATTTAAAACCAAGCAGGTTGCTATCCTCTTTAGTCTGTTAAAATTGTTCTCTAGTGCATGA